TGAAAAAGAGGGAAATGTCACATTTTTATGTCATTATCAAAGAATTTCAGTGCCTAAAGGAAAGCTAGAGAACTCCGATCAGAGAAGAGCAATCAACTGAGATGACATTTTAATCATTTTGGACTGTGCGTCCAAATATTTCATTAACTTGACATTTCAAAATGCAAATAGCATTTGCAGGTTCAATCCCAGCTCTGAACAGGTCAAGGTCACGTTTATTTCTAAAGCACACTTATTATTGCTTCCGCAACCCATAGTACTGTACAACACACAAAATAGCATAGCAAGAAAGTATAACTAAAATCCATAAAGCCATAATAATTAGCAAGTTAGGATAAAAACAACATTACATCGCACAATTATAAATTCAATAAAAATGAGAAGGAATGACAATGACAAAAATAAAGTCATCTACATAAAAGCCAGGTTGAAGAAATTAGTTTTAAGCATGCACTTAAATACATCCAGTTTTTGAGAGGTCCTGATCTGCAGAGGAAGGCTGTTCCAGAGTGTGGGGCCGGCCTTTAGGCGAGCCTTTGGAACTGACAGTAAAAACTGTGAGCCCGACTGCAAATTCCTGGCAGGAGTGTAGGTTGACAATAAATCATCTATATAAGGAAGGGTCAGACCATAAAGTGATTTATAAACAAAAGGCCACAAACTAAACTGAATCCTGTAATGCACTGGGAGCCAGTGAAGGGAAGCAAGCACTGGAGAGATGTGATTGTGCTTCCTTGTACCTGTTAAAAGGCACGCTGCTTCATTTTGACCCAGTTGCAAGCGGTTTAAGGAGGAATGCCCTAATCCATAGTGCAGGGAACTGCAGTAATCTAGTCGACAGGAGACAAAGAGATGAATAGCATGTTCAATGACAGTTTCCGGCAATTAGTACTTAACCTTTGCAAGTTGCCTCAAGTGATAAAAACCGGACTGGACCACTGCACTTATCTGTCTGTCCAATTTAAATGAACCATCCATAAAAAACACAGGTTTTTCATATGAGGCTTTACAAAATCCAAAAGGGAACCAAGTGGGCTCACCGCACCCTTTAACAGGTCTCACTGCCAAAAACTGAATACTCTGTCTTCAGGTCATTCAATTTCATAAAATTAATTGACGTCCATTACTTCAAATCAGCTAAGCAGGCCATTAAAGAAACAGCTGAATCCGGGATGAGCGGGAGATATATCTGAAGGTCATCAGCAAAGCAATGAAAAGTAATGTTGTGTCTGGCGAAGATGGAGGACAATGGTAAAATATACAGTGAGAAAAGTGTTGGCCCTGAAATGGAACCTTGTGGAACACCACAAGTCACAGGTGCTGGTGGTGAAGTAAAAGTTCCCAAGTTCACAGAAGAGGACCTGTCCTGTAGATAAGACTGAAACCAATCAAGCACTGTGCCCCTTATACCAACACAAGACTCTAATCAAGACAACAGAATACCATGATCAATGGTGTCAAAAGCAGCAGATAAGTCTAGCAGCATTAAAGCAGCTGAGTTGCAAGAATCAGTAATCATTAATAAGGCATTCACCACTCATGGAAGTGCACTTTCAGCGCTATGCCATACTTTAAACCATGACTGAAATTTGTCTGAAATGGGATGTATTGACAAATAATCCTGTAGCTGTGCATGAACAACTTTCTCCAGAACTTTTGATAAGAAACTAAGTTTGGAAATAGGTCTGTAATTAGATAGACAAGTTGCGTCCAGGCGTGGCTTCTTTAAAAGGGGATTCACTCTAGCCTGTTTAAAACACTGCAGAAAACACCCTGAGAGAAGAGAACAGTTTATTAGTCTGCGCACAGCTGAAGCAATACCGTCAAAGGCCTGCTTAAACATACGAGGTGGACTAACATCAAGTGGACAGACTGAAGGCTTTAAACAGTGGACAATATCTGATAACTCCTCTAAGGAGACAGGTTGAAACTGACAATAAGATGTTAAACAATCTGGATAAGAACTTGGATCTAGGATAGAAGATATTAAAATGGAACATCCAATATGTGAAATCTATCCAACAAAAACAGACAAAAAGCAGTCACATAATTTTTGAGAATGTATACAACTACTTCCAATGCTGGGATTCACAATGCTGTTGAATGCGCTAAACAAAACCTGCAGTCTGTGACTATTGGTGGAAACAAGGTTGCCCATGAACTCAGATTTTGCCTGTTTCACACAATTCTGATAAACAGTCAGACAGTCTCACAGTGCAAGTAGAGACACATGTAGCTTGTCCTTCTTCCACTTGCTTTCAGCACGCCTGCACTCCTGTCTACAGGCACGTGTGGTGTCATTCAGCCATGGTTCCAGATTTTTATTTTTATTATACCGCACAGCTTTCATGGAGGTCATTATCAAGGATGTTTAAGCAAGTAGAATTAAAAAAAATCAGCTAAGTCGTTGGCAGAAGTTGAGTTCATAAAATCAGCAGCCAAGAATTCAGCAGAAAAATCAGAGACAGACACATCATTAAAAAATCTTCTCTGTCCTTGCATTGCAGTTCTCCCCATTGAGCCGTGTAATTCCAATGTAAAATGGACTGGAAAATGGTCAGAAATACTTTGATCGAAAATGTTTGTGTAGGGTTTGGTAAATTGAGTGCTTTAAGAGTTCAATAGATATTACCTCTACTTATGACAGATAAGCTGTGATACTCTATCTAAATATAGAATATCACCCTGCCTGGTCTTTATTGTGCTTTAATCAGAAGATTCTAGGATTCTTTATTTATCAGGAGATTGTACACACTTCGTTTTGATTCAGAAAACAGTCAGGTTTATAAAGTAAGGATGTATTTTAACAACAATTAAAACATGACAAGTTAACTAAGCATTAACTGTGATGGATGGAACTAGATGTGATGTATGAAACCTATGTGTGAATGTAATGTTAGTCATAACTTCCGTATCTATGACAGCTGTGTTCTGGATGTAAAAGAATTTCATTTCCATTAAGCTATGAGTTGATTATTATCAAAACCCACCTCAGACGCTATCTGTGTGTCTACATTACCCATTTTCAGGTTAGAGAGGTCGTATGACCTCTGGCACCGGAGGGCTGTAGAATACCGCTGCACCGACCCTTCAGTCCAGAGCATAGACTGTACACACTGGACAAACGGATTCCATTGGCTTCAATAACACGTTTGTTGTCTATAATGGGAGGTGGCCACCACCGCCATTTTGACCGTGTCACAGGTTCCGTCCAGTCCAGACAATTCCATGAAAGGGAAGAGAGGAGGCGCTGAGGGTGTGGCTGTAAGGCTGGGCTCGAGTGACGACACCCAGGCGAACTAGCTACGAGCTAACCTGAAGCTAACCCTGGCTAACCCAAAGCTAAAGCGGAGGTGGGAGCCGAGCTAACGGATGTAGCCACCTAGCTTCAACCCAACCGGAGCTAACTGGAACACCCATCGACCTGAACCTCACACGGAGTTTAGGTGGAGGTTTTCTGTGCCTGTTCGTGAGAAGTACCTGTATTAAAAAAGATTTAAATCGGTAAGTTTATAATTTATTTCCGTAATGAATACATTTTGCTTTGAGCAAGTTTTCAGTACAGTTTTTTTTGGCGCTATCACTCCTGAGTCGCACCAGCCATTAAATGTATCATGAAGAAGAGAAAATATATTTAAGTCGTATTTTGGGGGGGCATTTTATTATCTTTCTTACAAAGTCTGAGACCAAGCGTTTCACATTGCAACACAAGCACCGGTAACCATAACAGAATGAACAACAGCCAGCAGAGGAGAGGATGGCGGTGTTTCAAACCCTCCCGGCCGGCTAGGAGAGATCATTCCTGGGCTGGAGCCGGCCCTCAGCACCCCGCCACAGGCTCTAACAGATGCTGGCGGTGTTTGAAACCCTCCCAGCGGGACAGGGGAACTCATTCTTGTGTGGGTCGGAGTCGGCCCGCAGCAGCGCGGTGTAGCCTACATATTTTGTTATATAAGTCGCTCTGGAGTATAAGTAGCAGGACCAGCCAGAATATGTAAAAAAGTGCGAGTTATAGTCCGGAAAATATGGCAGTTATTAGTATTCGAGCTAAATTAGCAGCGTAAATACATTTCATATATTTCCAAAATGTAATACTTGTTTGTATCTTGTACAGCCAACTAGTCTTTATTCTGGACTCAGTACAATTTACCAAAAGTAAAGAGACATTCTACAGATGAAGTAAGCACAAGATAACTTACTGGAAGACACGGGATTATCATGAGAACCAGAACAAGAGAGCCTGATAACAGTCATGTGAAAATAACAGTTAAAAAGTATGTATGTATAATAGAAATAAAAATATATTAGAATTAGTGTAACTCACTGTGATCCAAACAATAAATCAGCCATAGCTGATTAGTAAATATGACATGAGGTCTTGGAGTTTTTAATTTTCATTTTTTTCTTAGATCTGTTTAAATGTCACCATGGCAGCCTGTGTGTCTCCAACATCAGCTACACAAAGCAGCAAGTGTAAGTTCAACATACCTGTCTCACCACTTCATGTATGGTTTTGTACTTTAAACAATTATGACAAACCTGTTATTTTTTCCTCCATAGCCATTTGGATCATTGGAGACAGCTATGTGAGGCGTGGTGCCCAGAGAGCTGCAGAGACAACCTTGGCCTCCCTGACGTCTGTGTCTCCTGGTTCGGTTGGGGCGGACCATCGACATACATACATGTGCCGACACTTTGCGCCCTGTTTTATAAAATGTAGTGTTAAAAATAAATGTTTTTGCTCAATTACTGGAATTTCTTTGGTTAAGACAAAAGTGAGGAATAATCATTTACAAGTTATTTGTACAACAGGCCCATTTTAAATCCCAACAGTTTCTTAGCAGACAATAGAAATGTGTTCTTTACTAACTTTACTTGGTTTAAAAATCTTACTAAAATAGTGCCGTATTGCAAAACCCAATCATACTTGTTATGTAAACATTAGCTTTGTAGATATTTTTTACAGATATATATTTGTGTGCAACAAATCCAAACTTAAATAATTTGTCATTCTTTATTGAAAAACAACAAAATACAGTTATACAGAAGTGTGGGAAAATGATAATGTGAAAGTATTGCTATTTAAATGTAATCCTATTTATCTTTAAAAAGAAAAACTCTAAAAATGTCCTGTACAGCATCATGACAGAAGAATGGTGGTCTGTCTGTCAGAATGTGCTGAACAGATTTGCTCTTTGAAGAGGAGTGTCATGTTTGGAGGAAGGTACTTAACCCAAGACATGCAGAATACAACACTGACCAAAAACTGATGGAAAAAATGATTTATTTATAAGGAGGAACTTAAGGTGCACAGATAAGTCTGTGGTTGGAACTGCAACAACAGCTCAGCGTCTGGAGGAGGGAGAACACAGGTGAGCATAGGTTCTGGTTTCAAAATCCATTGTAGGCAGGCAGAGGTGTTCAGCAGACTTACTGTGGTGGGTGTATGTGTTGGCTGGAGGAGAGAGAGGTAGAGAGGAAGCGCAGGAGAGGGAGCAGAGGTGGAGAGAAGCGGGGCGTCCTGGTGGATGGGGCACTGGGTGAGATGAGAGGTGGGTTATGGAGGCTGGTGATAAGGTCCGTGTGTTGAATATCCAAATCCTGGAGTAGAGGTCAGTATCCAATGAGGTCGACAGGAATCCTGAAGAATGGTATATCCAATATAAGAGCAAAAACACTACGAAATAACATTAATCCTAGGAACACTAGAGGTAACACGAGTGGCTGGTTACTACCAAAACTGAGGCAATCTTCTGGCGTCAAATTGTGTCCTCCATCCACCTTAAATAGGAAAGCACCCCGCTGATTGCTGATCAGGAACGGCTGGGGTGGAGTCACCAGAACCATGAAGAACGTGTCTCCAGAGACAACCCGGGTCCTGGTACCAATCAGGAAGCGGACCTTATCACCCAGAGCTGGCAGGTCACGCTCAAAGCCTTCCTGTTCACACTGCAGAGCCTGAACGCTGGCCAGGTGGTGGCCGTAGTTGTCTGTGTTCAGGGCCTGGTTCTTCTCCTCGATCCACTCTTTGGTCTCATCAGCATCTCTGAGAAGACATCAGAACTCTGTCTGAGTGTGGGTCCAAACTCTACTGACCCGTAAGCGGCGCATAAGTGTGCGGGGTACCTGTGGAAGCGCTGCACCTCATGGCCGCTGCCCAGCATGTTGCTCCAGTCTTCAGCCAGCTGTTGCAGCGAGCGCCAGCAGTTGTTCAGCTCCTGGAGAGAAACCAAACCCAGTGAGATGAAGGTGGACGCCAGCGGGCTGGACGCCGGACAAGGAAACCTGGAGACGGATCGCTCAGACAGGAAGGGAAGAGCTTCCTCTTACCTTGATGTAATTAAAGTTAGCCGTCGTCTGAACGCCCAACCGTACGGTCTGAGGTCAAAGGTCACAGGAAACACACACCAGTCAGCAGTCATACAGATGCATAAAGATAACTGTAGCCATGGCAACCAGCTGACATGTCCCCACTTTCACCAGCACCTGGTGCCTGCCGGGTCACCTGAATTCCTGTGTGATGTCAGCACGGTCGGCCGTGACTGCGGCCATCAGAGGTGACCTCTGATCAGCTGAATGAACTCACCTTCTAGGGTGACGCCGTGTTACCCCGGGTTTCCACGGGAGCCGTCAGCAGCACGTTACTGCAGCAGCACGTCTTGCTCGCGTAAGCTGCTGCTTGGCCCTTCCCACGAGACGCGAAGCAGCAGGGGAGCAGCTGTCACCGACCGAGCACGAAGTCACACGAGTGACTTCGTCAGTAAACACAACAACAAGCAGGAGAAAACTACAACATGGTTTGTGTTTTATGTTCTGTCCATTTTATAATCGCCAATACGGACCTGAAAAACAAAGGAGACCGCTAGCTAGGTGATAACTTCTCACGGGGCCGCACAGTTAGTAACTGTTTTTAAAAGTAAAGCAACCGGAAGGCAGTACGTTCTTTATTCTGAAAATCTCGGTAGCTTCTCTCAATTTCCGCGTCCGATTTCCTGTCTTTCCTTCCCCAAAAATGTCGAACTTGACCCGTTTCAGAGGCGTCGCGCGTAGAAAATAGAACCGGCGCGTAAAGGCCGCGACATGCTGCTCCTGAGACGCGGCCGACTCTCGCTGCCGACGGCTCCAGTGGAAAAGGTTCTGTTGACCACAGCGGTTCCTATCAGCAGCTATGACGTGCTGCTGCAGTAACGTGCTGCTGACAACTCCTGTGGAAAGCCGGGGTTAGAGTCGGCTTCATCCTGTAAACAAACAAATGAGTGGTAACAAAAACACCACGTCTGGTTCTGGTGGAGGCGGAGGACAACACGCACCTTTCCAGGAGCAGAACCCAGATGTTCTTGTTGCTACAAACAGAGACGAGCAGAGTTAACAAACCAGGAAGTGAGAGGGACCAGCTGCTGCAGACAGGTGACGCTCACCTGAGCCTGAACCATAGGAGCCTCCTCAGCCATCAGACCTTCTGACTCCAGTTCAGATGCCACCTTGTTGATGTCCCTCAGGCGGGACTCGTTGGCCTTCAGGTCCTGCAGGACAAAAGCACCTGCTGATTATCACCTGAGCTGATCTGACAGCTGCTGCTGGAAGACGGAGAGGAGGAAAAGTCCGACCTTCTGGAAGTCATCAAACTTCTTCTGCAAGACCTCGACCTGCTCCAGGTCCGACCCGTCTCTCCATCCTCATTCAGCTAAAGACGCGAGTTCAAGTAAAACAACCTAAAGTCACACAAACACAAAGCAGGTGTGGAGATGTTCGCTCTGAGCTGGAGGTCATTCCTCGGCTGTGAAGGGCACACGAACCTTGTTGGTGCTGTTGAGCAGCGTGAGGATGTCGCCCTTCTTCATGGTGACCTCTCCAGGACTCTTCTCCTGGTAGTCGTACAGAGCCAGAACCAGCTCCTTCCCGGTCTCATCGTCAGTTGGAGCCACTTGTTGCTGTCGGGTTAACAGGTCTGGTGTTAGAACGTGGTGGATAAGAATGTTCTGACGGGCCGAGGGTTCTGAACCAGCGAAGTGACCTGGACCCAAACAAAGTGAGCCAGAACCTGCAGACACCTCAGAAACATGTCAGGACCAGACCTGCTCTACCTTCCTCCATTATGGTCTCTCCTTTCTGGGTGACAGCCTTGATGCGAGGTTCATGACCTGTGATCTCAGCCTGCAGAGCCTCGTGCTTCTTCAGCAGGTTCTGGACACCAATCAGGTCCTTCCCTGAGGACACATGTTAGAGTTCAGCATTATGCAGTAGACAGACCAGTTTAACCTAGGGGTTTCTTTCTTCTACAATCTGCTCTTTAACTGTATTATTTCCTGCTATTTCAGCTGTTAACTTTATTTTTTCTCTAAGTGTTTTTCTCCCCAGAAGAAGCTGCAACGATGTTCTGCTGAGCTGTGGTGGCCTCACGGAGGGGGCCATCATCTAGCACACTGCTGCTAACCACTTAATCATTCTCCCTCTCCTGATAATAACATTTTACTTTCTTTGATGTTGGATGTACTACTGCTAGTTTACCCGTTTAATTATAGATTCACTAGGATAAATACAATAAAGTTTATCTCTCGCCAAATAGAATATTTACTAAGAAATCACAATGTAACGTGTGTGTGTGTGTGTGTGTGTGTGTGTGTGTGTGTGTGTGTGTGTGTGTGTGTGTGTGTGTGTGTGTGTGTGTGTGTAAAAGCCATGTGTAGTGTTTATTTATAAAGCATATGTTGTTGGATTTTATCCAGAATCGAGACTTTGAAAATATATAGTTGAATTACAGTTTGATTTATTTGACATCTGTATAATGTTTATTATTTTGTTTTTTCCCCCTAAATACCTAACGTTTGAGTTTAACATGAATATCAGTCATTCATCCCAATACATGAAGTTACACATTTTAAATTTTAATAGGGGAAGACTGCAGGAGGGAGCGGTAAAATCATAGACTGTACATACTTGCTACCCGCCGGCTGTGATCACAAGCGACAACATATTAGTTCCCGCTGCTTCTTCGGTAAACAGCGCAAACAAAAACAAAGAAACTTGGGATCTTGTCGGCGTGGCGGTGGGATTTAAGGGAAACGCTGTATGCCCTATAGACTTCTCACCGAGCTGCAGTATTTCTCCGGTCAGATCTGTCTCTGAGAGCTCCACGAGCGGTCAGCCCGCGCAGAAACTAGCCGCCGCACCGGTCAGGCAGGCTGCCTGGCCTGACCGCTGGGGATTACCGGATGGAAGAATGGACACAGGTGTCACTCCAAGCCTGCTGGAGATTTAAAGGGTTCAGATGAAAACACCCTACCACTCAGGCTGCTTACACATCGATATTAAGTTGTCGCTGTTGCGCTCACGCCGTAATACAGTATTAGATGCGGTTAAAGTCAGACATGAAAAACTCCACGAGCGGTCAGACCGCGCAGCAGCTAGGCGCAGCAAGTAGGCGCCGGATCGGTCAGGCTGCCCGGCCTGACCGCTGGGGATTACCGGGTGGAAGAATGGACACAGAAGTCTCCCTCTTAGCGCTCCGTCATATTTCAACCCATTTTGATCTTTTACCATATTACCCATCTAAATATGCCCTATTAATTATTTTACCGTATTTTACATTTAAATTTCATGGTTAAACAGTACATGCTACATGTTAAACTGATAGTTAGCTAGCTACTTCGGTAAACTCAGCTAGTTTAAAGGTGGCAGTGACATAAAATACGAATATAGATTTTAATTTACCGAAAAAAATGAAGTGGAGACTCCTTGGACGCTCTATTAGTGCAATTAATACCACAGCAAGTCATTTTGTCCAACAATTGCACCAATAATATCCAAAACAGAATTCACAAGCACAGAGACTCAAAATCCCGAAACTGCTTCCAGGAGGGGCCGAGGCTGTACTGAGGCCTTTCCACGGAGCTAGCTCTGTGGTCACGTGGGTCTGAGGCGGCGGTCACGTGTGTCGGATGCTCATTAATTATACAGAATTTTAGGCTTTCAATACACTTAAACAGAAGAGTGAGAAAAAAATTCACCCCCTCAGAGTTGTCATGAGTATAAACTAGATAATTTAGACAAAAAACATGTTTTTGCACCAGGCTGTAAACATGTTTATTTCTGCTGTGAAATTGGCATTTTTAACATGGGAGTCAATGAGGATTTGCTCGCTTCTGGCACCAGCCCCCAGCGGATGAGGGTGGAACTGCAATTTTTCTTACTTCCGGGATGGGACCATTTTTAAAGCGGCATTGTGGGGGCTTGGTCCAGAGATGTCTCGGGTCACAACAGACTGATGGAACCTCAAGTCTGGGACTCTTAAGGAGTCTAAACAATGTCAGCTTGTTCTGCAGGAACTGTTTGCTTTATCAGCTTTGCAGGTGCAAAAAGGTTTTGACGATGGGTCAAAAGCTTTAGTGGTTAATGAGGTGTGCTTCAGGTGGCCGGTCTGAAGCTTCTCTAGAACTGAGGGAAAAGCCCAGTAATCTGGTTTTAATGTTCTCATGTTATGATTGTGTAGCCAACCAGAGGTTGACAAGTTTGAGGAATATTACCAAGAATCTCAGAAACACACGCCCTCTTTGACACCGGATGCTCTGATCTGGGGTAAAGGCTATTTATGTGTCATGGACTTAACTTTACCTTACTTGTTCTTGTGTGAGTGCAATATGGTTATGACCTTGTCAAGTAAACATGCTGGAACATATATCGTTGAGCACAGATTAATGAATGCATTTCATTACATTAATTATTATAAGTAGCAATAAACAAACATTTATTTAATGATTTTAAAATATTCTTTCTTCTGTGAAGCAAGGAGTCTTAGATAAACAGCTGCTCTTTGAGGGACCTTGAGGAAAGAAAGTTATTGTTATGATTTCATTATCTCTGTCAAAGCTGCAGGCTCTGAGCTCCAGCTGGTGGGATGACGGCAGGCTGATTTAAAGGGAACACATGCAGTCTCGTGTCTCCTTTTGGACCAGATGTTGGATGGTCAACCAGCGCCTAAAACCTGACCATTGCTGGACATTACATTTGTAATGTTTATAACTAAACCATGCGACAAAACTAAATCCAGCGTATGACCTTTTTTATTAGTTGGACCAGTAACCTAGCCTGGCCTGCCAGACTCATCCTCAGTTTAATTTTGCACAGAGAAAGAGTCTGGTAACTCACAGGCAGAGAGGTACTTGAGGGACAGGCTTAGCCAGCTCAAAAATAACCAATCAGAAAAAAGACAGAAATGTCGACTGTACCGCTGAAGTTTTTTTATCTGTAGTCAAAAAATAGTGTCTGGCAACGACGCAAACATCTTGTTTTTGTTTTTTCTTTAGAAGAAAGGCTTTTAGCACTTCTACTTGTAGTTTAAAGACGTGAACAAGTCACTTAGAACAAAGGAAAGAGCTGCAGTGAACTCCACTTCAGTTGCCATGTTTATGAAAAACTCGGCGTTATGATGTGTGACGTACGCTACTCAGCGCTGATTGGCTCGGCTAGAATTCTCACGGGGTGGAGTTTTTTGAATAGGAGAGTTTCCAGACCCTTTCTCTGTGCAGCATTAAACAGAGGAGGAGTCTGGCAGGCCAGGCTACCAGTAACCCACTGAACTAGGTTAAATGAGTCGATGATCTTTAAAAACTCCTTAACCAAGGATTTGGCCTCACAACATAAATGAATATTGAAATCATCACCAATAAAAAACATATCATATTCGACAGCGACTCCGGCTACAAAATCAGAGGACTCTCCAATGAAGTTATTGCTCATTTTGGGAGGACGGTAGATAAGGGCATAAAGCACTGTCGGAGGCAGTCGAAGCTCAAAGAGTTGGAGTTCAAAAGTAAGGAAGGTACCAGGTTGAGGTAGTTTATGACAACGAAAACAATTCCAGTAGACTGTAGCCAACTCTTCACCCCTCCCAGAAGTCCGAGGGGTATTCAAATAAGAGCAGTTTTGAGAAATAAGTTCAGAAAATGGCACATACTCTCCCTGGATCCACGTTTCACACAAGAACATGATTCTCAGCTGATGCGTTTTAAAAGTCATTTAGAATAAAAAATTTTATTTACCAGGGATCTGGGATTGAGCAGATACATCTTAATTGTAAAACCCTTTGCATCTGCTTGAAATCTGGCCTGAACAGCAAATTCTATTGTTGTGTTCTTGGGCAAGAAAGTCAACCCGCCGTGCCTGCTGGTGGTGGTCGAGTGGATCAGGGCGCCTCTGTCAGTGTGCCCCAGGGCAGCTGTGGCTGCATTGTAGCTCATCACCATCAGTGTGTGAATGGGTGAATGATACGCTGTAGTGTAAAGCACTTTGGAGTCCTCTGACTCTGAAAGGCACTATGCAAGTGCGGGTCATCGTTGTCACCTTCCTCCGCTTATCTGGGTCTGGGTCGTGGGGGCAGCATCCCAACTTGGGAGCTCCAGACCGTCCTCTCCCCGGCCACCTCCACCAGTCCCTCCGGCAGGACCCCAAGGCGTTCCCAGACCAGATTGGAGATGTAACCTCTCCAACGTGTCCTGGGTCGACCCGGGGGCCTCCTGCCAGCAGGACATGCCAGAAACACCTCCCCAGGGAGGCGTCGAGGAGGCATCCTGACCAGATGCGCAAACCACCTCAACTGACTCCTTTCGATCCGGAGGAGCAGCGGTTCTACTCTGAGTCCCTCCCGAATGTCCAAGCTCCTCACCCTATCTCTAAGGCTGAGTCCGGCCACCCTACGGAGGAAACTCATTTTGGTCGCTTGTATTCGCGATCTCGTTCTTTCGGTCATTACCCAAAGCTCATGACCATAGGTGAGGATTGGGATGTAGAATGACCGGTAAATCGAGAGCCTGGCTTTCTGGCTCAACTCCCTCTTCACCACAACAGATCGGCTCAGCGTCCGCATCACTGCAGACATCGAACCAATCCTCCTGTCGATCTCCCGATCCCTCCTACCCTCACTCGTGAACAAGACCCCGAGATACTTAAACTCCTCCACTTGAGCTAGGACCTCTCTCCTGACCCAGAGTTGGCAAGCCACCCTTTTCCGGTCAAGAACCATGGTCTCAGATTTGGAGGTGCTGATCCTCATCCCAGCCGCTTCACACTCAGCCGCAAACCTACCCAGCAAGAGCTGAATTTCAGAGCTTGATGAAGCTAGGAGGACCACATCATCTGCAAAAAGCAGAGACGAGATTCTCCTGCCACCAAACTCGACACACTCCACACCACGGCTGCGCCTAGAAATTCTGTCCATAAAGGTAATGAACAGAACCGGTGACAAAGGGCAGCTGGCGGAGTCCAACCCTCACCGGGAACAGGTCCGACTTACTACCGGCTATGCGGACCAAACTCACGTTCCTCTGGTAAAGGGACTGAATGGCCCTTAACAGAATGCCACCCACCCCATACTCCTGGAGCGTCCCCCACAGGGTGCTCCTGGGGACACGGTCATAAGCCTTCTCCAAATCCACAAAACACATGTGGATTGGTTGGGCAAACTCCCATTCCCCCTCGATCACCCTTGCAAGGGTATATAGCTGGTCCACAGTTCCATTGCTAGGATGGAAACCACATTGCTCCTCCTCAATCATCAAGTGCGGGTCATTTCATGTATCCTTTGATTTCAGCATTAATCATCCAATTCATTTTTTCAGCCATGATTACCAGAGAGAAGTAAATTAACCATGGTCCTCTCAAGTTGGAAAACCTCCTCACCAACACTTTTTCAAAGGGTTTTGAGAGTGGATATTTATATTTGAGCTTGAAGAACAGAGAAAATCTAATATTTGCGTATGAAACAGGTTACTCTTTCCATTTTCCCATACAGTCAATCCGAGAAGTGACCGGCTACGTGTTGGTGGCTCTGAACCAGTTTGAAAACCTCCCACTGGAGAACCTACGGATCATCCGAGGCACCAAACTTTACGAGGGCCGCTACTCTCTGGCCATCTTCCTCAACTACAGGCGAGATGGCTTCTATGGCCTGAGGCAGCTCGGTCTACGCAACCTCACAGGTAAGATTGATGCTTCAGCCGTTGGATTTTCACTTCTGTGCTTCTTGTTTCACATCCACGCCGAGGTGGGATCAGGAAGTAGCAACACAAACACACGGATGCCTCAGAGCATCTTCGAATCAAATAAATTTTATGGTTATTGTGATGAATCATCTGTGAAAAATGTAATATCTTAAACTCCCTCTCGGAATGGATTATTGTATATTTCACTTTTTGGATTTGGGCTGTAAAATGTTTCTGCACAATAGAAGTGTTTCACTTGTTTTGGTACACCCACATACATTTTTTTTAACCATAAAAGTAGAACTCATATCTTGATGCATTCAGGATTGTTTCTTTAAAAGAAGCTTTGTAATTATGATATAGAAAGCTGTTTTTGTTTGCTTTGCTTAGTTTAGAACGCAAATGCAAAACTAGACTGCTTTTATAAAATACAGAGGCTTTTTTAGCGAGTTAATCCTAAAAATCTCTGCGTCAGAGCCTTGCAATCATTTAATCTTTACCTTTTTGATGTTGTGCAGAACTGGGGTGACCTTCCAACTGCAGTCAGAATAATAAAGGCGAACATTGTTGTCTGACATGCTTTAAATTCCTCTTCTCTACTGAATAACGTCTCCTAGCATTGCTCTTTCCAAACAGCCTTACATGTGTCTCATTTGCATTGACAGGATGCTAACAGATTGATGTGCAGTGGCAGTGAGATAGCTGAGAGGTTGACTTTTTTTCAGAATGCTTTGAAAATAAGGTGTTGTCTTCATTCTTGGTGGAAGTATTAGCATTGCTCTAAGACAGAAGCATGAGATGTCCTAAAAACGTGTCTCTATGAGTTACAAGTGTCGAGTGCAATCTGGTTAGAGATCATTTAGCCCAATTTTAGCATCCTTTTGGACCAAATTTCTCCTGGTTTTAGTCTTACCTGTTTGATAAGTTTGAAAATGGTGGTAACTACCATTCTCCTGCATCCGTTTTGAAGCTAGGAGTTCCTCATGGCTGTAATCTAGTTCCCCTTCTCCTATTTACATTCGTGGTCTTAAAGATTACAGTTAGAACATTCAAAAAAGATGTCAAAAAACTTAAAGAGAAAGTAAAAATGGTGTCATGGTCCAGTGTTTATATATAAAAATACAAGGTCTCTGGGGTTTTAAAGGTGTGGAACACTGAAAATCCATTTTTTAAATATTGTTTCTGATTATAATCAGTCACTGAATGTCTGAGCTTCTCAGCTTATTGCGGCGTATGATTGAATAGGTGGTCGTGACCAAAACCAGCTTTTTTTATTTAAAGATGTTTTTAATGATTATTTCTGATTATAATCAGTCACTGGATATCTGAGCTTCTCGGGTTATAGCAGTTTATGAGGGAATTGGTTGTCAAGACCAAAACCAGCTTTTTCTATTAATAGGTGTTTTGAATGATTATTTATATTCAGTCATTCTGAGTTCAACATGCAGGCCGAACATGAAAATGGTCTCCTACGCTTATCTCCTGCATTAGCATCTGATAGAAAATGGACGGTGAAAGTCTAGGATTTGAAAAGCCTGACAGATCTACATTACACTGTCACTTAACATTCCAGGACTCACCCATCTTGACTCGTGACGGGGAAATCTGTTTAGCATCCAGTAAACAGCAAGGGATGTCTCAGCTAGCAGAAGCTAACTGTTAGCATTAGTAACTCCACCACATGACAGATCTCTTTCAGGCTTTTGTTGTAGTGATGTGAAAGTCACGAACAAATTGTTCAGCACTCAAGAATTATTTTATTGACCCGTGAATCACGAATCACAATCCCTATTCTTTCACTGACTCATCCCTGTTACTGTTACATATGTGTGTGTGTGTGTGTGTGTGTGTGTGTGTGTGTGTGTGTGTGTGTGTGTGTGTGTGTGTGTGTGTGGCACAACGGTGAGCTGCTAGTTGCTTCAGCTCCCAGTTCTTTTATTTATTTATTTATTTGCGCAATATTTGTTTAACTAATTTAAAATTTCAGGAAAAAAACACATCGGAATTAAGGAAACATTTGTTGAAATAACTACTCTTTTTTACAGTGTACAAGTTGAAACACCCCACTTTTGATTTTTCTCATAATTATTTGTAAAACAAGACTGATGGAGTGTAAAATAAATAATTTTCCAGCTTTTTCCAGCATTCTACTTCATGTTTAATCTTGTTGTATTTTGGCAGAAATATTGCTGGATTTCTTGTTGACTGAAAACCAGGAAAACAATCATTGTTGTTCTTCCAATATGAATTTAACAAAATTATTTTGGTGTTTCTCACCATGGCTGAGGAAGTAAAAATCTTGTCCAACACGTATGTCCTCCCGAAGCGCATCCAGAGAACAAAGATGAGCGCTGGAGGAACCTGCCAATCGCTGGCGATCCATTCACCCAGAACGGCAGCCAAAGGAACTTTTTCGGAATTAAGTGCAACAAAAGCAACAATATTGAATGGATTACTTCATGCATCTTGTTTAAATGTTGGTTTAAGTGCTGCAGTTTTTAGTTCTGCTGTGGACCCTTTATTTGCTTCCTCGTGGGGTTCATCGTGTATCCTTTCTTACTGCAACAAAATCAACATCCCAAAGCTCCACAAATGTTTGCTGTAAAGGGTTGGACAGCTGGTATTTATCAGCAGTCGTTCTGGCTTTGCAGATTATTTATTTATTTACTTTTAAAGATTGATGGCTGTGAAGGAAACCATATTAAAACCCAGATTTATTGTGATGAGCATCACTTTATGGAGTCGGAATGGCGTGATAAAGGGACTCCTGTGAGTTTTTAAGAGCCCGCTGACATCTGATGATGGTAAACCAGCATGGGGGCTTACCTGTTTGACAACTCCTGCAAAGGAACAGAAGTGTGTTTTTTTTTCCCCTGAATGACTCATGATGAGTAATGAGCCACTTCAGCAACTTTCTAACAAACTGGCTTGATCGTGTTTGCCCGAAATCTGTTATTGATGAATTTGACAAGAAAATCAAGGGTGATTTTTTTTATTTCTGAAATTGATCAAGTTGAGTTTTCATAAGTAATTACTTTCCTACCTGTTGTAGGTTATAATCCGAAACCATGAAAACAGCTATATGACCAGATTTTGCATCTTATAACAATAGAATTCAGTAGCTGAATCTTTAAGGTAACTTTTTAATCTAATTTATTTTGTAAATATTTTATAAATTATATGCTTCAACATTTTCCCTTTCCAACTGTTTAAATACAGTATTTTTGTTGTACTGTGGATTTTAGATTTGTTTGTATTTATTAAGTGAGGTTTAAAATTAATTTAAACCAAATAAGATTCATTTATCGAAATAAATAGAAACTAACATACTGATTACATGAATAAAAAATGAATGAAAACTAAATATTTTATAAATCTATCTAAATAATTGAACCAATTTAACAATAAATAATCACATTTGCGAATCTAACTCACCTTATTAATAGAACACAGAATCCTGTTAAACATGTTCTTGGGTAAAAAAGCTACATGGATGTTTTATCTCCACAAATAACACAACCCTAAAAGTGTTGTGCCATGTTGAAGAGTTGCTAATGCTAATGGTTAGCTTCTGCTAGTAGAGACACAGGGTGTTTCTCAATGCCAAGGAACCTTGCCTTGATGTCTTGGTCCCACCTGGTTGCCTAGGAGATATGTCATCAGGAACCACCAAGGCGTGTTCCAATGTTCATTTTTTACCGAGGAGTGTGTTCTCCGTTTGTTAGCCGTTTAGCTAGCTGATCAAGGATACACAGGAGGTGCCTGCAGCCTAGCCTTCAAACATTTCCCAGAATACAGCATGGTGTCTCCAAAAGGATGGTGGATCAGAAGCCAACAGCTACTTCAGGGGCAAATTTCCAGTTTAAATGTAAGTCAAATAATTGTAGCTATCAGGCTGATATCTAAAATGTTTTTTTTTTCTATATCCAAAGCAGCTATCTATGGTTGGTCAGTTGCTTAGTAGTTGCAGCTTTGGTGGCTAGCAGGTAGTAACTCGCCTACATATTTAATTTAATAAACATGTACACAATTTAAAAAGTAAAAGGCTCGTTATATATGTATGTTGAAGCTTATTCATAAAATATAACGTTATCTCCCGTAACACTTGACGTTACGTGCCTGCTGTGGAAGCCGCAGTTACATGATGCAAGTCGGTTCCATTTAATCATTTTCTTTGACCAAGGAAGGACAGTCTCCTCATAAGCAAGGTGCCTAGCCTCACAAGGCCATGTCTTGTGAGGCCAGGCGCCTTGCCATTGAGAAAAACCCACACTCTGTTCTTTTTTTCCTGTGGTCCCAAGCCAAGGTGTGAGGTCATAAATGCTAATTTCCCCTGAGACTAGCACATTTTCCCATTTCCTTTCTGAGTCTAATGCAGGCGATTGGGGCTGGTTTTAATAAATAAAATTACTGGAATAAACATAAACATTTTAAATAAATCAATCTACGATAACTAATTCAATTAATAGCTACCTAATTAATTAACTGGCAATGACATAAATAAATAAACATAAAAAAGTTGATAAGTACAGTATATACTTCATTATCTACCAACTGACTACTTTTAAAGCTAGATTGGCAAATTTGGAAAACTAATTAGCTCAAAAAATGTTTTCATTACTTTCAACAACATTCTAACATAGTATCGCTATACATATATTGTGGAGATAAAAAAGAAAAAAACAAAATAATAAAGTATTCCTCTCGTATTTGTCTAAAAGCCTCAGCCAATAACACGTTTCGGATTGAAAGCAGTAAATGAACCATTCGGTTGTCGGTCTCGCCGAGCCGCCACACTTCCCTGCGTCCTCCATCCATTACAGACTTGCATATTTAGCAACAGAACACCTTTGGTGTGAGAGGTTCTCCGCTCAATAATGTCAGAGAAGGAGAAACAGCCAGGTGCTACCACTCCATCTTTAGGACGAACTACCAGAGTCCCAAAATGAAAAACACTATTTGAAGTCACGGACAACAAAAGACAGTTGGATCTAGAA